AATCCTGAGATTAAAGTCAGAATTTTGAGATTAAAATCAGAATTCTGAGATTAAAGTCAGAATCCTGAGATTAAAGTCAGAATTTTGAGATTAAAATCAGAATTCTGAGATTAAAGTCAGAATCCTGAGATTAAAGTCAGAATTTTGAGATTAAAATCAGAATTCTGAGATTAAAGTCACAATCCTGAGATTAAAGTCACAATTCTGAGATTAAAGTCACAATCCTGAGATCAAAGTCACAATCCTGAGATTAAAGTCAGAATTCTGACTTTTTCCCATATTAAACTGAAATCATTTTTTTAGTGGCCCTAATCCTCATCTGTAAACCTGTAAAAAGTTGAAATGTTTTGAAATACTGTATTTGTCCCCCAAAGGCCAGACTAAGGCCACTAAACTGACCTGAAATCTTATATAACTCATCATAAGTTTACATTTTTAACCTATAACCAGTTTTATGGTCTTTCTCTGAAGCTTTAATTCAGCCAGACATTTTTTTAAAAATCACGTTTTATTGCTGAGTTAAAATGAGAGCTCCTTTTATTTCACCTGCTGGTGACGGAGGGCCTGGAGCCCACCGACGCCCTCCTCCTCAGCTGGACCCCCTCCAGGATCCTCTCCTCCGGGGGAAAGAGTCCCTCCATCAGGTCCATGGTGGTCCTCCCGCCGCTCTGATCCAGGATGTCCACCAGAGACTTGTCCCTGCCCATGATGTCTCTCACCAGCTCTTCCCGTTTGGCGTCCTCTGGCTCCAGGTTGCCTGACTCCTGGGCCGACAGTGGTTCTGGTCGGGTGTAGGCGCTGAACAGAGACGGAGCGGTCCGCTCTGCAGTCAGGTTGGCGGAGGGTGTGGGGCCGGCGCTGGACTCGGTGCTCTGAGGCAGGTAGGCCTGGCCCCGCCGCTCCGAGCCAGTGTGGACGATCCTGATGGGAACCTTTCTGACCGGGCTGCTCACATCCATCCCAGCTGGATCCTGTGGTTCAGCTTTGGAGCTGAAAGCAGAAACATTTCATGGGTTTGTTTCTCTTTAAGTTGCTGATTCTGCCTGATGATTTAAAAATGGTTCTGGAAGCTCTACGTACTACCAGACCTCAGTATAGGCTGCTTACCTGAGCCCCGGGTCATCCTGACCCGACACGCCGGGCGGTTGGTCGGTCAGCCTCAGAGGAGCAAACTGGGGCGAAGGAGAGCGGGTTTGGTCCGGCCCGGGACAACCCAGAGCTGCTGAAGGTGATGATGATGATGGCGATGAAGAGGACGGTTGTGTCCACTCCTCCTGCTCCTTGCTCTCTGCAGCTCCTGCTCCAGACTGGGCGATGAGGTGAGGAGAAACATGCTGGGCGGGACCAGAGGAGGGGAGGGCAGCTGCTTGGTTCTGGCTGTCAGAGGCAGAACCGGGTCCTGCCGGGTCCGGCTGGGCGCCGGCGAGGAATTCCTTGGACCAGGATGTGGTTTCTGGACCTAAATGGAGCCTGGGTGGTGGCAGGAGGCTCTGTGGCGGTTTGGGCTCAGAGTTCAGGCTGACGGAGGAGAGGGAGTGGCCGGCTGGGTCGGGTTCGGTTCTGTGGTCAGGGGGGCATGGGAGGATCCCCTGTGGGCTGTGGTCCGGTGACCTGCTCCCTGCCGTCTCTCTGAAGGTGAGAATTAAAAGCTCATCAGTACCTGAAGGAGGAACCATCCTGTACTACAACAACAACAGAGGACATGAGAGAAAACATCTGGAGGGAGGGAGGCAGGGAGGGAGGGAGGCAGGGAGACAGAAGGAGGGACCATGGACTCTCTTTATTGGTCCAAGCTTTCATCTCCAAGAAATAGTTATAAGCAAATTAGATACATAAATAAACAACATCCACACAGCCCAAAAAATAAAAGAAAAAAAACTCTCAACCCTCTAAAAACTTCAGAAAAAGCAATACTTTAATTGCCTGACATAAAACATCTCCACCTCCCACCTGATGAGCGAGAAAGACAGAGAGACAGAAAGACAGAAAGACAGAGAGACAGAAAGACAGAGAGACAGAGTCATGTTTCCCAGTATCTCTTCTAAAGGAATCATTCTGCTGAACTTCAAGGATGGATGTTGTTTATTTAGCTGAGCTCTGATGAAAACGTTTTTTTACTGTCAGAGGGTCTGACCGTCTAATTATCGCTAAAGAGGGCGGTTCTTTTAAATGAATCGATTAAAAATCGAGATTCAGAGAAGATCCTGGATGGAGGGACGGACAGGTCAGTGTTACTTCATAGTACTCATACCGACACGCCATCTATCCTTTTTTATACTAATAAGAGAGGAGTAAACCTGTACCTTTACTTGAATAACTTCTAGCAAAAACATAAAAAAACATACTATTTTAAGGAGCAGTTGTATTTCACTCTTTTATTAGGTTATTCCAGTTACTCTGCTCACCAGGAGTAACTTGACCCACTTTAAAATCTGAGAAATATGCAGAAAATGGTCGACGGCGTCACTGAAAGTCTTCGGCTGCGTCCGAATGTCTGAACTAATCACCATATAGGGTAATATATGGCGCTCTCTGCTGTTCAGTAAACCCCAATCTGGTCACCCTAGTGATGACTGAATGGAGAAGATCGCGAACACAAGCGGCCAAAATGAGTTTCCTTCTCAGGGCGGCTGGGCGCACCCTTCCAGATCAGATGAGGAGCTCAGTTACCCGGGAGGAGCTCTGAGTAGAGTCGCTGCTCCTCCACGTGGAAAGGAGCCAGCTGAGGAGGATCGGGCATCTGTTCTGGATGCCTCCTGGTCCAGGCATGTCCTATTGGGAGGAGGCCTGGTGGAAGGCCCAGGACACGCTGGAGGGACTATGGCGTGGTGTCGCCTCAGGGTCCCCCCCCCCCCAGAGCAGCTGGAGGAGGTGGGGTTTGGATCCAGAAGTCTGGGCATCTCTGCTCAGATCGCTAACTCCGCCCGCCGGCCCCGGATGAAGTGGAAGAAAATGGATGGATGGAAGTAGAAAGCTGTCTAGTATAGATGGCCAACATTTCTACTTTAGTTAGGTAACAAAGTATTTTTACTTCCGTTACTATGGCGATGGTCGTCCGGGATTTTGGTCGAATACAGTGCAGCATGAAGTCGAAACACAGCGGGCAGGCGGGGGCGGGTTGGCATATGTCGGGTTCGGACGCTCCATTCCTGGCTGGCTCCGGACCTGGCTTGCTCCGGACCCGGCTGGCCCCGGACCCGGCTGGCTCCGGACCCGGCTGGCTCCGGACCCGGCTGGCTCCGGACCCGGTTGGCTCCGGACCCGGCTGGCTCCGGACCCGGTTGGCTCCGGACCCGGCTGGCTCCGGCCCAGCAGCCCCCCTCAAAAAAAGTCTCCTTTTCAGTAACCCAAATCTGGTCAAACTAATTTTACGAAGTACTTTTTTACTCTTACTTGAGTACTTTATTGGAAAGAACTAAAAAATAAAGTTTAAAGTAGTACTACTATGACTAGAGTGTTATTTTTGGCTACTCTGCATACCTCTGATCAAAGCAAAAAAACATTATTTTAATTAAGAGTATAGAATAAATTTTAAATCAATTAAAGATTATTTTAGATCATATAGGTAGATTTTAGCCATACAAAGATATTAAACCTGTAATGGCAATTTTTTTTATGAACTATAAACACAGGGAAATTAAAAGGAAAACTTTTAAGAAAAACGCTAAAAATAACAAGAGATGCAGGTCATTTTTAGTTACAAATTAATTTGATAATTATTCAAACAGTCTGATTAAAGGTCAGTTAAACGTTTCCGCATAAATAAAGTAAAATCTGTCGTTTAGATGGTCGCTGGTTGGAAAGCGGATGTTGACTTAATGAGAATATTTCCCTGGATTTCTGAGAGCTGCTTAAACCACAGAGGAATGTTAATCTGCTGATGATTCATGGTCATGCTACCGATAAAATACAGCTGGTCAACATTAATGAGGAGAATATTTTTCATTGTTTTATTTAAAACAAACGTCGATCTGTTAGAAGGGCTGATTTTACCGGCTGGTTGATCGAGACGGTTGGAGGCTTCAGAGGTGAGAGTGAAGCTTTGGGAGGTCAGGAAATATGAACCCGAAGGTTAAAACCATTTAACTTTAAATGTCTCCTTTACGGGATATTTTATATCACTCCATCTATATTATTTATCGTTTATTTTTAAATCCACACATTAATTACTGCACTCTGACAGTCCTTCTTTTCACTGTAGACAAGCCATGATCTGCTT